TAATTCCAGCAACAGGAAATAGACAGACTATTTTACCCGCGGATTCTTTTTCTCTGGTGCTAGTTACTCCCAACACTGTTAACATAACACCCAACACATTATCTGACAGCAACACTAATTTAATCCCATACCTGACACATTTGACATTAAAACTGGGACCCGAACTGCACCTGCATTAAATCATACAAACCTACAAAACTCATTTATTAAAACTTTTATTCAAATTGTGAATAGATTAAATAGAGAAAGCAAGCAAAGAGTGCTACCTTTAATATAATCACTACAGCTGTCAATCAGTGGCAGCGCGATTGGCTACATTGCTCAGCGTGTACTGGACCGAGTCAAAATCGTAGTTATTGGACTCACAACCTGCCCGTGCTTGTCAACGTCCAGCTTGCACCTGCACCACACCCTACACATAAATATTATTCCACCCATTACATCAAATATTAGCGATTCACCTGCGTGTACCCGCCTGCATGCAGGACTCTGGCTTCCCCCTTGTCAAGTCAAGTCACCTTTATTTATATAGCACTTTTAACAATACGGATTGCGTCAAAGCAACTTTACAGCATTAAATAAGAAAATAGTGTGTCAATAATGCAAAATGACAATAGTAAACACTCAATTTTCAGTTAACGGCAGTTCATGGACAACTGTGGACAGCATAATAGACAACTCTGGCCCCAGAGAGTGATTGTAAATTAAGTTTACATGAAATATGTTTGAAATTTCAATCTGCATCTTCTGAGATACTGCGATTTCATTGTAATCCTTCTCATAAAGTCACTGAATTAACCATTAACTGTTCACCTGATTGAGTTGCTGTCTGTGTGTGATGTTAGAGCATTGTTGAGAGAGAACAAGAATGTATTGGAAACACACTACCGCCTACCCGCCTAGGAAATACACTTACCTGAGATTTATTTTTTTTATATCTCTGAAATATATGATAATATTCTTGAAAACAATCTTTTTTTTATATATATATATTATTGAAGAAAATATTAGTTAAGTATCAAAGAAAGAAAAAAAAATAATAGCCATAGTATGGACTTTTGTAAATGCTGTGATCCTGTGATGCTCAGATACTGTTCTTTCCTTCTCACATTGCTGATTTCACCATTAACTCTTCACCTGAACAGTTTGTTTTTGTATATGGTATCATTGTAATACTTGATCATCAAAACATAGGTGTAGACATCACCTTTTCTGTGTTATCATGTTTGGTTCAGGAGATATGACACAAAATACATAATTTGGTTATGGCAGAAAGTAAAATGGTCACCATGGCAACTATGAGGTGTTTTTTGCTATGGCTCCATTTCTGAAAATGTTTAGGGCTGTAAACTATACATGTGTACCAAGTTTCATGCTTTTATGAAGAAGAGAACATTACTTTCACATATCACCTGGACTGATATGCAAGTTTATGGCTAGCATGTGCATCATGGATCAAGCGGGAGAGACAGGCAGTCAAACTACTATGGTTGAAGTTTAAAGAATTTGAAAATGATTGCTGTAGTTTATCAAATCATGGACAAATCCATGGCTCGTTGTTAGCCCTGGCACGCACTGGCCCAACAGTGGAAAAGTGGCTACTGTCGTGGTTTACATGTTCATGTACATGTATCTGACATAATATGACATAACATTGATCTTTTAAATGCATTGTGTCATAAAAGCCATACAGGCTATTATGTTGTTTTTAGATAAATCGTTCAGAGGGGTTTGACCAACCAGTTAGACAGACAGACTACTAGATTATTTGTACAAATCATGAAGCACCCCAATCCCAGCCATTTATAATATAATTTTGATTAATATGACTAAATATTATTAAATTGTAACGAAATTAAAGATCCGTCTTTGATTGTCAAATGAATTCCAGGTGCAGTTCCCCCTCAGCCAATTAGATTTCACGTAGCATTTTCATCGGTCAGTCGTGGAATTCTGATTGATTGGTAACTTTTGACAATGTTAAGTTAATTCATTAGTTAATTAATTTCTAGCGCAAGAGCACGGAGAGATTTGTGAGTGCAACGAACACAGTTTGAGTGCGCACACTTTGAGCGAGAGGAGAGATTCGCAATTGCAACGGACATGTTTTAAGTGCGCGTACACTCTCTGGGTGAGAGCAGTGTATATCTCATAGACTGTATAAAAACATGGACGTAGTGTCCGTGACGTCACCTGTAGGTTTCTGAAGAGCATTTTTGAAGCCCAAAGTGAGCGGAGCGGACCGTCCTCATTTTGGCAGCGCGTCACTCCTGGATAATCGAAAATGGGCAGGACGTGGCAGGACGAGGGTGGAGCTGGTTGCTGAAACCACGCCCGCCTAGCTTGTCGGTGGTGACAGCAGTGGCCTAGCTGGTCGGTGGTGACAGCAGCGGCAATCCACCTTTCACTCGTGGCCACGCCCTCAATTATACATAACTTTAAGGCTTAATATAATTTAAACGGATGAGTTATAAAAAAATTCACCCCCCTCACATCATGAAGGGCAAAATGAGTTATATAGCTGTATATACCAAAACCACTTTTTGTACCAGGCTGTAAACATATTTTTTTCTGCTGTAAATTTGGGCATTTTAACATGGGGTGTCTATGGGATTGACTTCCTTTTGGAGCCAGTCTCTAGCGGCTAGTCGATGAATTGCAGTTTAAGTCACTTCTGTGTTGGTTTCAAGAGAGAGACCGGAAGGTTGCCGCTTGGTATATCTGAGAGCACGTGTCCGCATTTGTGTTAGAGCAAAGGAATTCCACGTGCGAGCAGAGAGATTTGCGCTGGCGCATCATATTAATGTACTTTCACTCTACAACAGTGCGCTCTCAACATTTGTCAGTTAAATAACGCCATACTACATATTCCATGCTTTTGTTTTCTTCGTTGTAAGACAACAGAGAGTGACGCAACCGGAAACTGTAATGCGTGTGCTCGCGAAACGTTTCGCGTGAGCACGCACAACTTTTCTCGTGCGCAATCGAAAGTTTCTCATGAGCATGCGGTAGTCTGTGTATTTTTATTTTTTTTGCTAAGGTCCCTTTAGGGGCTCCTAAATTGTTTGGTACAATACTATTCCAAATTTAGGGGGGACAGAGGTGGGCAAGCTTGTTGACACGGGGGCACTGCCCACTTCCCAGAAATGCCCCTGCTCAGACACTTCCCTCCTAGCACAAATGGGGTTGTTGCAGAGTGAGATTTAAAAGTGAACTGTTGTATGTGAACAATTAAGGTTGAAACCTCAGTCTCAGCCATGGTTTAGTGATGAAATACATGCTCTTAGACGGGCTTGAAGGAAAGCTGAACACAGATGGAAGAATGACAGGCTACAGATTCATTATGAAATGCTAAAAGATACTCTTAGCTTTTACCAACGTGCAGTCAAAGCTGCAAGAACTAAATTCAGAGTTCTGGCATGAAACTCTAGATGGCGCAGTCCGATAGGTCTAGCTCAATCTGACCTGGCGACATCATTGTCACATGGCAGCTGATTGGTTCTCTCCTGTATATGTAGCCAGTGAGCTTACTGTATATATTCAATATATAATATCAATATATATATATATATATATGTCAACATTCAAATACCTGGCTTTTGTTTGCTGTAGCAGTATTGCAGCGCACTTCAGAGCAGCCTAAATCAACATCTAAGATAAGTGAATGCTCTTTTAATCCATATCGCTGTGTATATTTGCGTGGTCTGCCTAATTGAATGCAAAATGAACAACCGTAACCAAGTTTAAACTAAGTGTCATGTTAGCATTCGTGATGAGTGTGTGGTTGATTTCAGTTGCACGCGCTTATCACAGTCATATCAACGATAGTGTTGTGGGAGAAGGGAATTAAGAGTTATCGCTATGGTTGTTGCATTCCGAGTGAAATGCATTATGGGTAATGTAGTTCAGAGAAATGTGCTCGCGTGATGTGTGCTATCGTGTGTTGTGCAGTTCAGAAAACGGAGAAATAATGTTTATATTCTGCTTTATTTAATAATTCAAGTCAGTCCACCCAGGAGTTTGTGCACTGTAACTCTGATAACTTTATGTACACTAGAGAGTAAAATTACATGCATTGGCTAATTTTGTCCATCTCATCATTGCACGAACACGAATTAACGAGCTGTTATGCTGCCGCTGGGACTGATGAAGTGTAGAATGTAAAAGCAGATATTAAATTACTAAATTGTGACATTTGCTCAGGTGGATGCTGGGGTCTCATCTATCGGATTGCAATGTATATCCATTTTGTTAATTAACATTACACATAG